GACATTCACTTAAGTAATGTAGATTCAACATCTTACACAGTTAGCTTATGATGAGTCTACTGGCCAGGTTCACAAGTCCCTCAAATCTGCTGAGCATTTCCCCATTTCCCCAGATTTCTGCCTGAGTGTGGTGGCCAAACTGTAGCCAGCATCTCCTGGGCCTGAATTCCATCTCCAGCCAAGAGACCCCAGGATGTGTATACACCAAAGGGCTGAACAGGAGCCATAAGAACAAAGAAGAGCATCCCAAAAACATCCTAGAGAGGAGATCTGTTTCCCTAGTCCTCCAGTGATCCAAGACACATCCTGAAATCCCAGCGCATGGTGGGATGGCCCTTTTCTCCTGAACAGAGGTTCTTAAGTTGGAGTCCAAGGAAACACTTCAGTGGCTTCATAAACTCCCTATAAATGTTATTTAAATTTGTATATATACATTATTCTAGGGAGCAGGCTTCGTGGCTTTCCTCATCTTTTTAAATCTAGTCTATGGAAGAATCTTTGTAGCTCTGTAGAAGTCTCCAAGTTGGGATTACTGGGACAGAGAGACAATTAGGCCAGTTCTGACACAGATAAACCCTGAATCTCTGATATCCAGCCATATCCAGTGTATGTGACTAATTGCCAGGTGACAGGCTCCAGGAAGTATCCCTGCACCTGCAGAGAGTCTTAATGATCATCCTAAGTATGGTCTGGTCCCTGAAGGACCATTTCACCTGGATATTTCACGATAGACCCAGAAGAGAAAAAATACATATGCTCTGAGCCTAAGGCTAACTAAGTTCATCAGAGATACCAGGCAAGCCTCCAGGTCTGACTTCTGGGAGCCATTAAAGAGGAGTAGTCGTCAGCTCCAGGCCTGGCCCTGAAAAGCCTACAGCCAGAGGGCCTCCCCACCCCAACCCCTGCAGAAAGAGAGGCCCCTACAGTTAGTCACTCTCCTTCACCTAATACCCAAAGGCTCCCTGGATTCTGAAAATAACACCGACCCTGCAGAGGGAAGGAGGAAGGCCTACTACTGGCCCAGAAAGCCAATGAGAAAAGGGGTGTGTGTCCCAGCAGCGCAGAGCCTAATCCAGGAGCTTCACAAATGCAAAGTGCTGTGAAGCCAAGGATTTACTTATATTGTGGTTTTTAAACTTTACTATGAATAAAGATCATCCTAAATGTTTGTTTGATAATGTAAGTTCCTAAACCTAGGGGATTATGATTCAGTGGTCCTGGGGTAAAGCCCAGATATTTACATTTTTTTTAAAAGAAAACTGGTAATCCTGATCTCAGGTATCCACAGAATACACCTTCAGAAACAGTGTTTCTAGGGAATCTAAGGCATCAGATGTGAAGAAGAAAATAGATCAAGTGAACTCTTCTTCACAATCCCCACCAAATAAAAGCAGAGGCATCCACTTACAATTTTGAGTCCTTCTCTTTGCCATATGCTATGCTAACCATTTTTTTAATATATACATGGCACCCTAAAGTTCAGAGAAAATAAGTAACTTGCCCAAGATCCTTCAGCTGATTACCAAAGCCAGAAGTGGGACCCAAATCTGAATCCAGAGTCTGTTGTTAATAAATATGCTCATGATTTTGAAAAGAATTCCAGTGCCAAGTACCTGATAACGGGAAAGGAGGAGCTATGAAGCCACGTTCCCTCTGTAGCTGGGATGAGGGAGAATCCCCACAGGCTACAAGGTTAAGTAGGCAACCACTGCAGAAGAGGAAGCAGACAACTGGGCAGGCTAGGGTCAAACCAGACAGGAAGAACTATAGCTAACTGGGCTAATGAGGCAAGGACTACATTCCCATAGTGCAGAAGGGCCAGAGGACAAGTGGTAAAAAATGTTGGGTAGTGATAGATGGACCGAAAGGGCTTTAAAGGAACCATCTGTCCTCAAAGGAATCAATGAAATGCCACAGAAAGCTTTTGGTCAGCACTGGCCCAAGGCCGCTGAGGGGTCTATGACCCCTGCTGGTTAGTACTGCACGTATACTCCTCAACTAATAAAGAAAATGAGTTGATGCAGCAGAACCAAAACCAACTTTGGAGCCCAGTACTGTTTATAAATTGCAAATCCTCATCCTTTTTAAAGGGACAAACTTACCTCATAGAGTTAGATACAGAAACAAGTAAATCACATAACATGAATAAAGTGCTTAGCATACTGCCAGATACAGAGGAGACGAACAAGTGTTAGCTGTTAGAATCATTAATTATTATTAATTACAACTATACCCACACTCACTGAGAAACCACTGTAGCATCTTGTTTGTTTGTGAAAGACAATGAGGTCAAATGTCTCTATAGATTGAGGTTTCCTCTCTCCAGAGATTGTCACAAGTGTTCTTTTTTTTTTTAACATACTCAGGAGAAAAAAAGAGTCACATCTTCCAACAGATCAAAAATGTGATCAAAAACAATGTTTTAGATTTCCCTTTACATTTAGTTCTGACATTATCCAAAAACTGATTTGATCCAATTGTTCCATCCAAATTTGTTCTGAGGGAAAAAGTAAGCTATAGGATTCAGTGCAATTTTTTCATTCAATAACTACCTTTTCATGCATCAGAACTGACTTTGTGACTGTTAGCTGAACTTCTGGATAGTTTTCAACTACCTAAGCTAGATGCCCCATCAAATGAACACCAAGCAGGCCAGCAAGACAACTTGACAGCTGAACTGTAGGGAACATATGGCTAAGTATTTCCTTACCAGTCAGGAACCCCTCACCTCACCTGTTTGTTCAGAGTAGAGGAGAACTGATGACACAGACTTCCTGAGAAAGGAGAATTTGGGTGGTTTTGGATAAAAGGAACAGAAGAAACTAAACTAGGTCTCCCAGTGAGGGAGGGAAAGAGAAAGAATATTACAGAAAAGATTAACATCAGAGAACAAGACCAATCAGTACCTTTGCAATAAACAAGAGACCCCACTGGTTGTTCTGATGAAAGGGTACCGTATGCCTGTAGGGAAGGAGGATTAAATACAAAAAACAGAAATATACAGCCCTCCCTCTGTTTCTATATCCTGTGTCAGTTCAGTTTGAACATGGCTTTGCTTCCATTAGTCAGACATGATGTGGGTCCTGGAGATAGTGGATCAAGCATGTCCCAGCCACCCTCAACACAGAATGCACAAACCCAAAGTTCTAATTCCTGAACTATTTTGAGTCATCTCACATTGTAACCACGCAGAGACAAAATAAGATTTGTTTAAAAAAAAAAAAAAGCTGCATGTTTTAATTCAAGAAGTAAAAGTTCAAAGTAATCCAGAACAGGAGCCAGGAGTTTGCTCTAAACAATCAGCCATACTTGTTGCAGAAGTTTAGGCTCCACAGAATCACTTTGGCCAGTGCTTCCCGAGATGCTCTTTCAGCTGAGGAATGGAAGGCAGCAACTGATGGCACTCATGACAGCGGAGAGGCAGCTTCAAGAACTCAGGCATCCCATCCTGGACAGTCACTCTGCCAGCCTCTTGTACCATCTCAATCACAGCTACAGGCAAGAAAAAAGTTCACAGCTCAGCTACTCTGGGAAGCCAACATAAGATACAAAAAAAAAAAAAAAAGCAGAAAATCTGACTCCAAATAAAAATATGTCAGGTATCCTAAAGCTAGTAAACTGGAGGTTATTCAGTCTTGCTGTTAGGAAAATGATCTTGACCAGATTCTCAATCTGAGCAACCTATTTTTTTTTTTTGAACACTCAAAAAGGTAACTTTTTAATTTTGAGATATTTACAGATTTGCAGTTATAAGAAATAATACAGAGAGAGCCTGTGTACCGTTTACCCAGATTCTCTTAAAGGTAACATCTTGCAAAACTGTATCTTGAAAATAAAATCTTGCAAAACACTGTTGCAACAAGGATATTGATATTTATTCAGTCAAGATAGAGAACCACAACAAGGATCCCTCATGTTGTCCTTTAAAAGCCACACCTATTTCCCTCCCACCCCAATACCTTCCTTAACCCACTAGTCTATACTCTTATTTCTATAATTTTGTTATTTCAAATATGTTATATATATGGAATGATATAGTATGTAGCCTTTTAGGATTTTTTTTTTTCACTTAACAATTCTCTGGAGATCCATTCTAGATTGTTTCCTGTTTCAATAGTTTGGTTCTTTTTATTGCTAAGTAATATTATGTGGTATGGATGCACCATACTTTGTTTAACCATTCACTCAGTGAAGGATATCTAGATTGTTGCCAGCTTTTGGTTGTAACAAGTAAAGTTCCTATAAACATTTATATGCAGGTTTTTGAGTAAACATAAACCTTCATTTCTGTAGGATAAATGCCTCAGAGTACAGTTCTGAGCAACCTATTTTTAAGATGATTATATTCCTTCAGGATACACTCTAAGCAATCCATGTTATTATGTCAAAGGTTTATCACAGTGCTTTACTCCAGCTGGCCCTTAGTCAGTGATAGCTATCATCATTAAAATCCCAGCACACTGAAATTCTACAGTATATACTTCCTTCCACACATACACAGCCTTCCCCTGTTAACTATCCCTCATGCAAAGTAATCCCCAAGCTCCTGCCCAGCTAATGGCAGAAGAGACAAAGCTGTTCAGAGCTTTTACATCCATGAACTCCAATAGTTCTCAGGATGACCTTTAAGTCCACTGTTGTTACAAAATACCTTTTTTGGCCCTGATGTAACAGTTCTCTAGGCCCCTCAAGAAGGCTGCTCATGGCAAAGTGGTAATCCCACTACATTCAAACAACCCAGTCTCTTTTAATGGGGCTCTCTTTATAAGGAACACAAAGTTGTACATGGATTTTTGAGGCTAGGTTATTATTTAAGGAAAGAACTGAATCAAGTTTAATAATAGCTGAGAAAAAATAAAACAAATGTGAAAACCAAAGAACAGTTTTACCTTGTGATTCTAGGAAGTATTCTGTATTGAAAGAATTCCAATGTTTTTTGTTTTTAAGGCAAGGAGAATCAAAATCCTGGCTGATCACATGAAGGTGTACATGGCTAGTTGAAAGGGAAAAAAATTGACCATTAAATCCATTAAAAACTGTGTCTTAATCAGAATGACACATTAAAAGTATAGGTATATAAAATATCGGTAGAGTTTCCATCTAATTTAATTCATTCACTTAAGAATATTTAAAGCTCATTAAGTACCTACTAGGGCCAAGCACTGTTCCAGCACTGAGAATTTAGCAGTGAACAAAATGGGAAAAGCCTCTGCCCTCATAGAAATATTCTAATGAGGGCCAATAAAAAATAAGTAAATAAAAGTAATTCAAGTTATTAACACTGCTAAGAAAAAAATACAACAGGGAAATAGGATAGAGAGGTAGAAGAGAATATCAAGGATAAAGTCTGTCTCTTTAACTAGCTAGAGTACTCAGGGAAGGTCTCTCCCAAGCAGTGACCTGAGCTGAGAAAGCAGGCAAGCAAAGATCTGGGGAAAGAGTGTTTCAGGGAGTAGGGAGACCAAGTGCAAAGGCCCTGAAATGAGAAGGAGCTTCGTACAAACAAGGAACAGAAAGAAGGTAATATGGCCAGAATGGTTAGAGACAAAGTAAAGACTAGGTAAGAGCCAGATCATAAAGGCTCTTACAGGTCTTCAAAGGGTTTGCATTTTATTTTGATTACACTGGCAAGCCATTGAATAATTTTAAGCAGGGGAGTGCTATCATCTGATTGACACTTCTAAAAAATCACTGTGGCTATTGTGTGGAAAAAGGACTATAGAGAGGGTAAGGATAGAGAGAGAGAGAGAACCAGTTAAGAGGCAGCTACAGCAGTCCAAACCAGAAATAATCACAGCTTAGACTAGAGCTATAGTAGGTAAGATGACAAGAAGCAATCCAATTTCAAATATATTTTGGAATAGAATGAACAGGACTTACTAATGGACTAGATGTGAGTTTGGGGAGGTGCCACTCACTGAGATGGAGAAGCTTAGGGGAAAAGCAGGTTTAGGAAAGACAATCAAGAGTTCTTTTTTGGACTTGCTAAAAGCCAAGTAAGATGCCTTTTTGTATAGCTTTGACTCAGAATCGGTAATATTTCACATTCCCCCAAAAAATAATCAAAATCAACCAGTACATGGGTACCCAAAATGAAATACAAGCAGTAACAAATAAACCTAACTGTATTACAAATAAATAAGGAACTCACACTGAAGGAGGTCAGGAAGAAAATAACTAACTTCAGAAAATAGTATCTGACTGATGCTTGCTGTAAAAATAAAAAGAGCTATATACAAATACTCTGCTGTAGTGAGTAAATGTCATTCTCACAAGAATATGAGTTAGCAATTCTGTAACTACTATATATGTATACTACAGTTGAACAAATAAGTGAATTTATTGTACCTAATGAGTGCCAGATTTCTCACTGTTAAAGAAAGAAGTTACAATGAAGAAAAGGGGGAGACAAGAATGAACCTTGTGCAGCTGGACTGGAATGAGAGGTATCATCATGGCCTCTGGTTTACCATATACATATACAGGTAGATAAATCCAGAAATGTAACAGAGGTATGTGTATCTATGTGGGTTAAGATTGATGCATGTATTTCCTAGCTCTGTCTGCTGAGAGGACCTAGGAACAATGATATGCTAGAATCCACTACTTCTCTCATTATAAAAACCTACTGGCCATCTCTTGATTTGTAAATATCATTCTCTAATGAAAGAAACTAGGGCTCTTCAGAGAAGTGGTTCATTCCAGGGCTAGAACAGGAAAAAATTAGATTAGCCTAGAATATTTTGTTTCAGAAAATAACAAACCTCTCAAAAAATGTTGAAGGCATGTCAAAGTGATACAAGAGTCAACCTCAAGGAGCTTTCAATGACCAAAACTGGAACAATTTGAGCAAGAAAATAATTAGACAGATTGAATTAAGACCTATAAAAAATAATACAGATCCATGAGTTCATACTAATAAATATTTGAATAAATACATAATGGGGGGAAAAGATAGCACTTCCATACAGAAGAACTCTTATTAATAAATTAGAAGGAATGAGGGAAACGTAAGATCACCATTAGCTAAACTCCCTAGTAATTACTATTGCAGGCAAGATCTACCAGTAGATGCTAAAATCACTGGGCAAAGTTTAGGAGAAAGAGGATAGTAGCACAGCCTCAAAATATTCAAGATATTCATCAGTTACAAAGGAAAAAGCAGCAACTTTTAGTAGAGAAATCACCTTAACAAAGTGATCAAGGTTAACATCATGAGTAAAAAACCAGCTCCACATCATGCACTCCTTGATATGAGGACACATCTCACTTCTGTGATATTTTGGCAAAAAAAATAATTTAAAAAGCATAACATCAATCTAATCATGAAAAAATACCAGGCAAACTCAAATTAAGAGACATCCTTCCTATAAACTAGCCAGAACTCATCAAAAGTGTGAAGGTCATAAAACAAGGAAAGGAGGAGAAAACTGCCATAGATTCAGGGAGACCAAAGAAAGAAAACAAACAAATGCAATGAGGGATCCTAGATTACAAATCCTGGAGCAGAAACTGATTACAGGGAAAATATGTGAAATCTGAATCAGGTCTAGAGTTTAAGTAGTGGCAATATTATGGAAGATCTTTGCTCTGTTCATATTTGTTTATGTTTTCTAAATTGAAAATATATTGCTTTTACAACTGAAAAAACTATGTTACCTTTTCCTTTCTACAATGTTTATTCAAAATTTTATCATAGTGATCATAAAAAGATACGCTGGTGACAACTTCACTGTTCGTTTTGCTTCTCACCCACAAATGCCACAGCTCTTGATTTCAGCATTTTCCTTAGCACACCAGCATTCATTATATGAAAGGTACAGACACCATGATGACTAAGGAAAATGGCTCTGTAGTCAAGGGCTCTGTTGGTCACAGGCTCTGCAACATTAGGGAAAGATGATTACAAGTGACTTCCTACCCTAAATTTCTGAATAAGGCTTTAACAACAAAAAATAAGTATTTTTTTAAATGAGTTACAACATACACCCACTCTATGACCTAGGAATTCCACTTCTAGGTATTTACCCAAGAGTGAAAAAAAAAAAAAATGAAGTATGTCCATTATATATACATATAAGAACATGCATGAATCTCAAAATCATTATGTAGACCAAAAAATGCCAGAAAAAAAAGCATAGCATACATTGTATGTTTGCATTTATGTGAAGTTGTAGAGCAGACAAAACTAACCTGTGCTGAAAGAAATTAGAACAATACTTGATGGTTGAGGGGGAGATTAATTGGAAAGGAGACCAAGGGAACTTTCTAGGGTAAGATTATAGAAATCTTCTGTATCTTAATCAGAGTGATAACTCCCTGGCATATACAGCTGCCAAAACTGATCAAACTATAAACCTAATTTGTATTTTATTACATGTAAGTTATGACTCAATTTAAAAGAGAGTATTGACGGGAAAAGAATTTGGCACAAAAATTTCATTTAGTTAAAGTAGCCAGTAATCTAAGTAATAATTACCCACCTAAATAAAATGTGAAGAATACTGGGTGGTTTAAAAAAAAAAAAAGAAAGGAAATTCTAGTACAGGTTACAACATGGATGAACCTTGAAGACATCATCCTAAATGAAATAAGGCAGTCAGAAAAAGACAGATACTGTATGATTCCATCTATGTGAGGTACCTAGAGTTGTCAAATTCATAGAAACAAAAAGTAGAATGATAGTTGCCAGGGGCGGGGAGGAGGGAGGAATAGGAGATAGTTTGGAAAGATGAAAAAAGTTCTAGAAACAGACGGTGGTAGTGATTGTATAACAATGTGAATGAACTTAATGCCTATGAAATATATACTTAGAAGGGCTAAAATGGTAAAATTTTTATATAATTACATAATGTATATTTTACCACCAAAAAAAAAATGAGGGTTAAAAACTCTAAAATACAGTTAGTCTGCTTATCTTGTTGCTTAGCTCAAAAGAACTGTGGAGATCTGCTTTGCTTGCATTCTTTAAAAAGAATCAATCATTCCTTTCTGAATCCTGGGTATGAGCCAAAGGAAAAGAGGCTCTACACTTTTCTTTAATTTTATTTTAAATCTTATATCTACTAAGCTGTCATAACAGAAGTCAGTGATGTTTGTCTCCTTCAGAGCAATGGTCCAAATCAGTTAGGGGTTAAAGATGTTTCTGAAAAATTTGCTGAAAGGCACTGAACAGTCTTCATCTGAGGGTAATGAAGCTACTTCAGCTAGTTCATAGGTTAGACCGTTTTAGGTTTAGACTTTGAGAGAACAAAGAAGTGTACATGATCAAATTACTAGCAGAAGTAGGAACTAAGGCTTGAGGCAAGTCAGGCAAAAAGGCAAGAGTTTCAGTCCACCTGTCTTGGAAACATCCCACCTTACTCCCCTGGGCCTCAGGACTATCAGCACATTCAGGCTGAATCCATCTGTCCACCTAGACAGAACTAGGATGCCCCAGCACTACCCACAAGGCTTACCTCATGCTGGGAATGGCGTGGTAGCCCAATCGGAAGCGGAGTTTGCTGGACCCAGCAAAATCAGCAATCATCTTTTCCCCTACAGTGTGCATGTGTTTGAGAAGCTCCAGGTGTTTCCTGGTCACAGCCTTCAGACTGGAAATGGAGGCCCATGGTAAGACAAGCCAGTGGTGACGAGCCTTGGGGTATTTATCCTTAATCACTACCACCTGCTCATCTTTGTACACCTAGCAGAAGGGCACAAGAGAAGGAAACAGACATCCACCATGCATCTTCTCTGTGCCAGGTACTGTCATAATCAATAACCCACTTAATTCCCACCACAATCTTGTGCAAAAGGATTTAATATCCCAATTTTGATTGATGAGAGCACAGAGACACAGGGAAGTTGAGGGTCTTGCATAAAGCCATACAGTTACTAATTGGGAAATCCAGGATTCCAACCCAGATCTAGTTGTCTCCTGAGTCTGTGTTTTTAATCAACACACTACAAGAATACAAAGATGCACAATACAAAATTGTTCCTAAAGATCTGCTGTAAAAACCCTGCAGGCATAAATTCAAATGCACCCTCTTCCACTCTAGCACATCAGACCATGTGATACATGCATGCCTGTTCCCAGAAGCCCTAGCAGATCTGGCCCCTTGTCATCTGAAAATGTAATTAAAGAACTCAAAGAAGGACTCCTCTCAGAATGATGCCTGACTATTAGTCCCAGGGCAGCACAGTAACTATAGTTACAATACAGTATCTGATGCTCCCTGGAAAGTGACCACACTAAGGTTAACATGACTTTTTAATAGTACCTGGAAGTTTAGGAGGAACAAGGCAGAGGGGAATATTCATCTGAAGAACTTAGCTTCTCTCCAGAGAATTCCAGTTGCTAACTTACTAACAACAGGAAAAGCCACTTGGTCTCACAAATCTCATTTAGAAGAACCAATCCCCTTTGATTTTATTTGTAGTTATAAACTCTACAGAGTGGTCATTTAAAACATAAAATGTATTTCAATGCTGAAATTCTATTCTGACCTGCATTTTGGGGTCCTGCATAGAAATCCTCAAGCCTTGACTCCAGTGGCCCAATGATTCCTAAAACAAAAAAGGGCAATTAAATTGCAAACACCAATAGTTAAACTTGGCATTGGTTAAAACTGTATGTTAGCAAAGTCCAACTAAACTTGGAAATAAGGTTAGTTTTTAAGAATTAAACTGTATCCCCTTCACCTCAATCTTTTGTCTTTATAACCACAAGCCATTCTCATTTTCTTCCTAAGTTCAGACCTGCATGTCAAGACAGGCTGGAAATGCAACTGTGAATCCCATCTTCTTAGCCCTCTCCCAATCCATCTAACCGCCTGAGTTTCCACTTTGACATCATGATGTGAATCACAAGATCTATAAAAAGCATTCCAGTTCTAACCTGCTAGAGATATACAATGACCTCCCCATTTTAGTAGCTCAATATTAAGTATGCTGCCATTATCTTTAAGTGGATTACCTGAAGAATTCAAGGAAAAAGTACATAAAGGGACATTCATGCAAGTGATTGGTGACACAAACAAGTGACTTTTTCATCTTGCTTAATAACCCTCCTCATCATTAGTAATCTCTTACATGCATCTGGACTTTATTGAGTACAAAGCAGTCATTATATCTGATTTAATTTCCATATCATCTATTAAGCACACCACCCTCACCTTTTTGGTAGATGCATCTTTCCCCTTCTTTGGGGGCACAGCACATTCACTAGGGTAGCTCCCAGGTTCCAGTCCTGCACAGGGCCCAGTTTCCTGGACAGCTTCTCTTTCTACAGAATTACAGCTGCCTGACCTCCTTCTCTTCTTCTGTGCTTCCAGGCCAGAGTTCTTTGCCTCTTCCTCAAACTCTACAATATATGGATAATGTTCATTCACCATGTGGAGAACCTGGCCAGGCTGCAGCTTCACCTCTTGGTTCTTCCCAATTATGACTGAGTCAATGCTGGTGGGATTGACCCCTACCTATGAAATAACCAGAAAATAATTACAATAATAGCAAGAACACCATCAGTAAAGAAGCCACTGCTGTGTTAACCACTATGTGCCATGCACCATGCTTAATGTTTACTTACATTACTCTGTCACTTCCACACATGACAGGGAAGCCTTTATTGGCTGGCACAGACACTTTAACATCAACAGCCTGAGAAAATCATTAAGTATAAAATGGAAACCCAAGTTACAAACAGACATACCTGCTTTACCTTGACATATCCTTTGTTACACTCAGCTTTCAACTGCACTGGAAGAGATTGAAAGAAGTTAAATCCAAGTACCACAAAAAACCAGGCAGCTGCTCCTACTCTCACATAATGAAGCCTCACTTCAGGAGGAACCTTGATAGGGGTTTTCTCAAATGCCTATGAGCAAAAATCACCTGTCACGCTGGTCGCTAGGGCTCCAAATTTTTCCCAAGCATGTCTAACAGTGTATAAACTCCCTTAGCTACTACTAATATCCTTAGAAGGCAGCTACACTGAACCCCAGGACAAGTCTCCTTATTCCAAAGCCCTTGACCCACTCAGGATCATAGAATCTGCAGTCAAGGAAAGAAGCCACTTCTCTCACAAGCTCTTGACCCAGAATTAAATCAAACTTCCACTGTTATATAAAACTGTTACATAAATCAGATGCCTTCAGTAGAGAAGTACAAAAGATACATTCTCGGAAAACAAGTTCGGCTGGCTTAGGTAGGAGGAGTGGCAAGAATATTCTAGAAAGAGGATTTTAGGGACAAAACAGTCTGAGCATGTGTGGAAAGAAGTAGCATTAAACACCTGTATTCAGATACATGAACAAAGTTTTTGGGGTGAGACAGGTAGCAAAGAAGAGACACCGCAGGTGCTTTCTAGGAAGTTTAGGCTGACACACAGTTGCTGTTGTCGGGGGGACAGTGAGAAGCAGTGTCTGCTTCTATATCTTAGGCCTAGCCAACTCAAACATGGGTTTTCCCCCCATTTAGATGAACTCATAGGAAAAACCGTAATTGGTGCTGCAGACTCCAAGCCTTGGAAAACCCTGCTATAGGGAACATGCTACAGGTGAGAGGCCTGGGAGCAGTAAGCATGTCCAGAGTTTACAGGTATAAAATAGGTACATGGTAAGGCTTTTTCCTAAGGACTTTCAATTCATTCATTAAATCCCAGGAATGACATTTCAAGACCTGGATACCACTGTCTTAGATACCACCCCCTGGCTAAGGCAGTATGTAAAGGATGGAACCATTGTCCCATCACTTCTCAGACATGGTTTCATCCTGGAGATCCCAGAATTGAATTATCTCACTGCCCAGTGGGGTATCTCCCTGTACAAAGCTGAGTGTGGGACTCAACCCATAGTAACAGGATGGAACCTGCCTGTTCCCAACACTGAATGTAACCACTTCAGCAGATGCAGTGAATGTGGTTCATATTGGCTAAGAGTTCAGTTCCTGAATTTTGTTTATAGCAGACAAAAGGTTTTCCATCAACAGCATCCAGAAAATGTATCTTTGGTTATTGCTATCCTAAGAAACCAAACATATTAATCTCCACATGCCTATGACCAGTTAGTTACCTTGCTGTCGTGAACATTTCTTGTCAGTGATCTTAGTCTCCGGGCCCCGCCCAACCACGACTATTTCCAAATGTGGAAGTTTGATTCGCTGGTGCCAGTTGTCCTGCCTCACCAACCAGCACACCCGCATCATTACTCTAAGAGACAGAACGGAAGAGAAACGCTGAGAAAACTAAACCAGATACTCCAGGGCCACACCCCAGCACCACCACATGTGCCATTTACCAGCTGTTCATCTTGAGGCAAGTGACTTCACCTCCATAACCTCAATTTCCTCACCTGTAAACTGTACTGATGACAGGACTCATGCAGCTGTTGTGAAGATTAAATAAGATCATATTGGTAAAGTATTTACTTCTGTGCCTGAATCATACTAAGCAATCAAATATGTGTTATGTTTATTAATATACTCTATACGCCAGACATTAGGCTACATGCTGAGGATCAAAGAATGATTAAACATTGTCGCTATCCCTGAGGGACATGGAGTACAAAAATGGGCAGGAAGACTCATATACTAATTATTATAATGTGATAAGCACTGTGAGAAGGTAGTAAACAAATACAGCATTGGCTCAAGGAAGGAATGACTGCCTCTTGCAGGAGTATCAAAAAAGGCTTCATGAGAGGATATTTATGCTGGATTTTAAAAAATGAGAACAAGTTTGCCTGGCAGAGAACTAAAGGTGTAAGAACAGAGGATGTTCTTTAGTCCATAGGCACCTTTATAAGTATTAGAAGGTTTCTTACTTAACTGTAACAATATACTGATGTTAGAACAATACATTTTACTGCCATTTGCCAGAAAATTGTCATGGCAAATATACAAGCATACATTTCTAAAGTGTGAATGCAGCACCTTTGTGCAACATATAACCTGCACAGCAATAGTGGAGGTGCTGGTGTTTTTTGAAAACAACCTTTCTGTCCCCTGAAGTATCAGTAGAAGAGAAAGAGATGAGAATTTCAAGAGAGACAGATGAGGCATGAATAAAGGCAGAACAAAGAGGATGGAAAGGAGTAAGAACCAGAAGAAATCATGACCATAGACTTAATTATTCACTGCATTTGGGGAATGAGAAGGGAGTAAAGAGGGACACCGACCAAGATTTCTAATATGGAAATACCTATTAACCAAAAGGAGGAATATACAAGGAGACATAATCTGGGGACAAAATGGTAAGTAAAAAAGGGATAATTTCAGATTAAAACACAGTTAGATTAAGTTTCTTGTGGAAGATCCAAGGATTAAGTTGAGATATATGGGTATGACGCTCAGGGAGAGGAATGGGCTGAATGTATTTATTTGGGAGGCACCAAATTGTCATAGAAGATGAAGCAAAAAGAGGATGAGATCACCCAGGGACATAGCGCAGGGAATTATGGGCAGGGACAGGACTAGATCTTTGGGATGCCTCCCTAGAGTCCAGGAGTTTACTAATGCTCAAGCCTCTAATACCTTCTTTGCAAAATGTCTTCTGCAGGCAAGACAGCACTTACCAGCCCTCTGCATAAGCTTTGTATCCAAATGGGAGAGAAAAGGAACCAGATTTTTTACAATCATAGTTTCATTGCCATCTGCAATAATAGGATAATGCAAAACATACTGAGCAAATGAGTGCTAAGGAGGTGCAGTCATAGAAACTAGATCAGTCAGGAAAGGCTTCGGAAACTGCCCAGCTGAAAAAGCCAAGTCCCAACAGGAATGATAAGGAAGAAAATGAGCGGAGAAGACATTCCATTTAAAAAGCACAAATAACAGCACACATTTCAGCAATGACAAGCCATGGGTGAGGGGCGAAAAGCAGACCTTACCTGGCCAATCCAGAGGAGCTGCTCCAGAGTCACACACAAAAAAGTCAGAAGTGTTGAAAGAACACTAGGCTGAAAAGTTCAGATTTAACAATCAATAGGAGACAACCACCAGGTTCTGAGCTGCACAGTAAGGGAAACAACAGCTGTGTGTAGGCAGGCGAGTGGAGAAGTCTAGAGTCAAAGAATAATCAGCACACTGCTAATACAGGGAGAGCCAAAGTGAAGTCTAAAAGGCAGCTCAGCACATCTTTGTGAAGGAGTTGATGTAAGAGCATGAAAAGTCAGCTGTAATCGACTGAGAAATGAAGTATGTCTTCTTAGGCAATGGGAAATAAGTCAAGTGGTGACTGACTACTCATAGTAAAAATAAAAGAAACATGGAGAGAGCGGAGTTTGAGAGCAGAGACAGCAAGGAACCCAATTGGCAGCTGAGAGCACGGCTGGCTGTTGCACACTAGCAAGAACTACCCCTGCTGCCCCACACAAACATACTTCACTACTTCAAAGTTCTCAAGTTATGATGCTCCTATTTACTACTCCTTGAGAAACTGACACAGTGATAGCACAATACTTACACAATTAACCTTGTAAAAGCTAGGCCCATTTCAGCCTTCAGTTCCAATTTCTAGGAATGAAGCATTTTAGAATATGAGAGCACATAAGGATGAGTGTTCCTGAATCTTCAATATAGTCCATCCAGTAAAAGTGCAAATTCTATGACAGCAGAAGTCAAGCCCATTTTTGCTCACCAATATAAACCCCACACTTAATACATACTTGGTATACAGCAAGAATACAGTAAATATTTGCAAGTGAATGATCAGATAATAATCCTATTCAGATTCCCTTCCCTTCCCTCTCCCCTCTTCTGTCTCCTCTTCTTCTGTGGGGTACTTTGCTCCTCTCTTTGGGCAACCCCATCCTCTCATCTATGTGAATGATCCTAATTCTCTATTTCTTAGCTCCATAAATTTTCCTTCCAGAGTTGTGGGGATTGGTCAGAAGAAATTCTGGTTATTTCTTAAGGAACCCATAAGCTGACAGGCTACACAACACCAGCAATTAGATAACCTAGAACAGTGCTGTCCAGTCGGATTGTCTGCAGTGATGTGTTATAAATATGCACTGTCCAAGTGACTGTAATGGGTTATGTGGTGGGGACTTGATGATGGGGGGAGTCTGGTAACCATAATGTTGCTCATGTAATTGTAGATTAATGATACCAAATTTTTTTTTAAATGCGCTGTCCAATTACACAGCTACCACATGCCAATCCAGCAATAGAACTGCAGCTAGTGTGACAGAGGAACTAAATTTCTTACTTTTTTTAACTGAAATGTAAATAGCTGTACATGGCTGAGGGCTACCATAATGTCCAACACAGTCCTGATCAATCCAAATCCCAAATCCCTCCACCCTGAAGTTAAGACCCTCATACTCTAACCCCACAGAGATTACTTAGCTCACCTCCCACTTCCTTTCATAGAACCAGTCCTACTCCTCCCTTCCCCCAGACTCACGCAAGTGCAGCCTCGCACACACATACATCCTTCAGGTATAATGTACTGTATCATGCTACCAAATAAGTTACTCTTAATATGACATCCTGGTGATGGTTAATACACTTTCCTCCCACCTAGAAATGCAAATCTCTCTCAATTTCCAAGTCCCACCCTCCTCCCGGAGGCCTTTTCTGAGCTGTCTTTCCTTCTCTACATCTTGTTATTAGGTGTGGTTTACTTTCACAGTTCTCTGAAAATTAAATGTGGATGTGACTCTACCCTCCAAATGAGATTATAATCTCCTGGTAAACAGACTGCACCATTGCCCACCCATTCAAGGAACTCAAAGGAAGGGTCTCTGGAGATAACTGCCCTGAACTAAGGCTGGCCATCTATTTCTTGATTCCCTTGTGTTCAGCATATCTCTATCAAGTACACACTACGTGCAAAGTACTTGCTAAATGTCTGACTTGCATCATCTCATTTAATCTTCACAACCCTCATTCTAAGGAAGAGAAAATTTAAGGCTTAGAGAAGATAATTATTGTGTTAAGTCACATAGCCAATGTGTGCCAGAGCTACAATTCCAATTAATTCCAAAGTATGGGCTCCTAATCACTGCACCATATACCTTTTGTCAAAATTACTGCATGCCTACTATGCTATGTACCCTGTGCCATTCTACTGATGGGAATAAAGAGATTATATGTCACTTGTATCATATGATGCAGGCATAATACATCAAACCTGCCTCAGTCTTGTAGAGGAAATACAAAACGAATTACAACAAATGTGGTAAGAATAATGGTCTGTGCAAAGGATATTATGGGAGCACAAAGCTGGAGTACCCAACCCAGACTTGGAGAAAAAAGGTATCAAGGAAGGTTTCCTATAGGAGGTGGGCCTAAAATAAATCCTATATCCTGTAACTAGGTTAATTAGGTGAAGAGCAAGTGGGCAAAGGAACCCGGGAAAAGATTCCAGTCAAAGGGAACAGCAAGGGCAATGCACAAAGAGCAAGCACAGGGCACATGACATGGTACAGTGCTGCTGCAACCTAAAGCATAAGGCAGGAAAGAAGCTGACATAGGCAGGTCCAGATGAAGCAGAGCTCTGGGTGACTGGCTGAGAAGCTCAAACTTCAGAAGTTCCAATAGTTTTGCAGTTCAGTAAATGTTAAAAATTTGCTGAATCAATGAGAGCAAAGATCAATGAACAGACAGATCTTTAAAGATTATTAAGCAAGACTTTGACACTGTCAGATTTGTTTTCAAAGATCATTTGGAGAAGGGTAGGTAGTATAGAGAACAGATTTGTGAAGAATAGAAATAGAGGCCAGTTAGAAGACCAGCATATTTCAGTGAAAGATGAGGCCTAAACAAGGACAATAGTAAGGATGGAGAAGAGAACACAGATATGAGAAGCATTAAGGGGGTAAAATCATCAGGACTTAATGACGGATGTGATAAAAGTAATCTCAGGGAAGATGTTGAGTTCAGTTGCAGCCCTCTGAATCTGAACTGCCTGTGGGACCTGAAGGCAGATCCATTCGGCAGAGTGGTCACAGGCGAAGGTGAAACTCAAAAAAGAGATCTGACAACTTTGATTTGGGACCATGTAGGTTAAAACCAAGCCAGTTGATGTGCTCAGTCAGTGTGAACAGAATGAAAAGAGCAGTGGGCCAAAGTCACAAGCTTTGGAAACACCTAATATTTAGGGAGAAGAAAAAGACTACCCACAGAAGAAATTCAGAGAGGCACAAGGAGAAACAGCTAGAGTATAAGCTCCTTAAAGGAAGGCACTGTGTCTTATTCATCTCTGCACTAAAATAAATGTTGAAAGATCAGCTGAGTGTATTGCCCTGGAAAGAAAGGAGTAGGGAGTGAGAAGTATCTTCAAGTTTCAAAAGCAACAAAGGGATCCAGTAATGACTAAAAAAATGTCTGATTTGATAATGACTGGTGACCTTAGGGCAAAATTTCAGGGGAGTAAGTCTGAACTGATAGAAGGCAGAAGGGAATGAAAAGTGAGGAAATGGAATAAGAACTTAGGATGCTCTTTAAAATAGTTTGAATAAGGTGAAGAGAGTTACTGGATGACAGCTAAAGGAAGATGGGGCACCACTTTCTTTCTGGCTTGGAGAATGGGTTTGGGAAGGTGGTAACCTGTGATCTGAGAAACCTAACCTTGTTTATACACGACTGGGACACATCAGCAGAAAAAAACAAATGAAAACAAGGTTTCATAGGAAAAAAAAGCATAAAAGAAAAGTAAGAAGCAAATGTAAAGGTATTTGCTTTGAAAGAGGAGACAGCTTATCCCCAAAGACTGAAAGGATGGTTAAGATGGGTGTAAATCTCTATGACTTTGTCAGAAGGGAAAGTAGGGGCAAAAATTCGAAGGGAAACACATCAGATAACCAAAATTTTCTCCATAAAATAGATAACAGAGTGAGCAAGCTTAGTGAACAGTATATGTATATAACAAGTAGATAACATCCTGGCCTCTGAAGTCCATCTGCTTGAGTTCAAATCTTGACTCCACCATCTATACAACACTGTGACTTGAGGCCAGTTATTTAACCTAAACCTTTACTTCTTCCACTGTAAAATGATAATTGCTCTATATCACAGGGCTGTCACAAGGACTGCATGAGGAAGTGCCTAAAGATCAGTGTCTGACAAGAAGCAAGGAGTCAACACTATTATCACTCGTTAATAGCGAAGGTAAGATGAAAGCAGGGTCTGAGGACATGTTAAAAGATCATCTGGCAGCACCGACCATGCAACGAAGTTGAAAGGGCACAAATCTGTATTGTCTCTCCCATATGAACAGTCCTGTCTCAAGTGTTCTAACATCCCAATGTAAGTCCAATTCCTAAAAAGCTCCGAACCTGGACCACATTAATTTCAAATGGAAATTATATCCCTTCTTTGTTGAATCGCTATGGCTGGTCTGCAGGAAAAAAGCCTTGCTTCTTCTGACCTTCCTGGAAGGCCTGATAATTCGCTGTGAGATCCTACAATTCGTTTCAGAAAGCGTTTCTGGGGAAAACATTGTCTTTCCTGACAAGCTGAGCAGCCTCCATGGATCGGACAGTGCCCTCTCTCTAATCTTTTCTCTGCTTGTGTTGCAACCAATTGGTACTGATATTAGGAGCAACGGTGAACAAACGCGAAGTGGGGTGACCAGTTTAGGCGCCGCCGAAAACACGGCCCAGGGAAGCTGGTGGTAAAGTGGGAGGCCGAGAGCCCCAGGATGGAGTGACGCCTGCCGGGAAAGGAACCGTTGAGAGCATTACTCAAGGCACACCACTCATGGGCAGCAGCGAAACCGACCGAAGGCTCACACCTTCGGCTTTCACACTGGCCAGGAGAGACAGGCCGACAACACCCTTACCTCAAGTCGGCGGGGACGGATACTGTTCTCGTTACTCCTCCGTGTCGCGCCACTTCCGGCGCTGC